GTGGTGAGGCAGAAAGAGAATTCTCACCTCACGTTATAAAACTAGATAGGTAGGTAAACACCTCCCTTAAATCAAGAACACCACACTAAACCACGAAAGGGAAATTTGAAAATAGTATCAAAGAAATGGACAAACATGTAGGTATGCACGCATTAAAGTCAGCCCCATAAATTAAAATGCCCTTAACTTAAACCACCTCATATAAGATCCATAGCCTGCATACCTATAAGTATTTAGACATCGTTCTTCCCTGGAAAAAAACACTGCGTATGCATCATGTAAAAACCAACATGTAGGTACATTGTATACGTCCCATAATGTAAATAATGCACTTGCATCATACCAATACCCTAAAATTATAAACAGCTTACGCATTTTTAGGTTTCCATGTTTGTATGTACCTATTGAAACTTAACATTCTTGAGATAATAGTTGACCTTGTTATGTTGTTTATATCAAAACAACCCTTTTATCATAAGCCGGTTGTTGACTGTTTCGTATTTTAAAACTACTGACCCTGATTTATTCTAAATTGGACTGTCCTTTATAAAACTAATTCACAAATCATAATCATGTGTAAAAGCAGTAGGCACCTACCTAGGTACCTATTCCAGTAACGAAAATGTATGGGTAGGTAACGTATTTGTTAATTTGTATATACAAATATATTTATTAATCAAAATTGTTAATATTTGACAAAATAATGAATGAAATGCAGTTAGTTAATAATTCAATTCATCGTCTGAGAAGTTATTTACACGAAATCGCTTGAAAATGCCTTGGTTGGGCAACAAAATAACCAAAGCTGCCGTCAATTTCTCATATTCATTAGATACAGAACGTGAAATTATATTAAGAAAACCACAAAACATATTCAATTAACCTTATTTTACAGTACATGCTTCCAAATTTTACTTTCGCGCTTGGTTTACTTACATATTTTAAAAGAAAGTCAGTGCCGTGTGGCCACATGACCGACTTGATAACTAAAATCAACGACCTAAATTACAAACAATACTCACATTGACAACGTCGTACGAGCCCGGCACTATTGCAGTTACGACAGCAATCAACAAACACTACAATTAAAAACAAACCGTTTTTATAGTTCACCACAGTGTATTTTACAATAATTATTCAGTTCATCTGGATGTACTAGCAATGTCGCACACGGTTGCAAAACGATAATACATCGTTTATTGTACTTTCAACGCGACCGACTAACTCCACTTGCGCACGACAAGTGCGCGAGTCGGCGACGATAATGGCTGACGCGCTTGCGTACTGAGAGAACAAGCAGCGGGCTAGAGATGAGCGTGGGCCCAACTTCCCAACGTTTATGCAATATTTTTCAAATATTACCTTTTAAAAATAATATACTTCCCAAACAGGAATACACTTACGAAAATAATGAGAAGAACTTTTCTAAGAGTTAGAAAGCACACTAAAAAACCGTAGTAATTATACCTATTCTATACTAATTTCTAATTTACCAGCAAAACAGAAAGTGAAAAATGATTGATGATCATGGTACCTTACGAAAAAAATACTTTCTTCCAAAAAGTATAATAAATAAAAAATTGTCCTTAGTTTATTTAACTCTGCTATAGAAAAGGAAAGTTTCAATAAAGATACGTACATTAGATATAGTAGTCACCTAGAACTTTTTAACAAACCACTCAATTATGAAGATAATTATTAAACGTGTTCTCTTTTCAAAAAGCCGAATAAATAAATAGTCAAATACTAAATTATTAAGTATTAAAGAATTTGATTGTATGTAGAACAATGTATTTGTAGCGTTGCTTTGAAAACAAACTGTTTCGTGCTAACCTCTATAATAAGCCTTCGAATGTCTGCTAGTACCTAATTGTTGATGCAATGGTTTATCGTTTGTTTTCAATCAACAATGACCGCAGCACATGTTACTACATCGATTGAACTGTTCCGATTGATTAGTTGCTTGTAAAAAATAGTAAAATTACTTTCTACTTCCCAAGAATTAGTGCGAAAACGAATTTCTGTTGATTTCGATTTCCGCTACGTCAGTCAGTTGAATGGGAGAGGGTGAACTGCGTCAAGGTCAAGCGCAGGGTTGATAGATTTGATTGTCAAACTTCCAAAAGGGAAGGTATCCCTAGTTCCCCAGACCTTTGAAACTGATGATATTGATTGTTTTTTATAGCAAAGGACCAATTATTAGATTATTCTGTTTATAATAGCCAATGGAAATCATTAAATAAATACTATTAATAAAATTGGGCTCTCTCGCCTTCTTATCATATTTTCTTTATTACAATTAACACCTCTTGGCACAATTTTCGTATAAATATTAAAATTGTGATTTCAGAAATTAGGGACAAAAATATAACTAAATACATAGTTATATATAGCACAATAATATGAATGAAAATTATTTTGGAACTTCAACATTAATTTTCATTAATTATTACTAAGACTTCCAAAAAGTTTAGGAGACCGCAAAATTAACAGTTAGCCTCAATTCACTAAAATTCCCAATTGGACTAGAGACATCATATTGCAGGACATTTAAATTTCCTTATTATATTATTTATTCATCATCATCATCATAGGGTCGTCAGTCCTAAGACTGGTTGGACACGTACCTCCACTCTTTCCTATCCTGAGCTAAACTTCGCATTTCCCTAAAATTAGAACAGCCCACATCCTTAACTATTTGCGAACAGTAATCTAATCTAGGTCTACCTCTACCCCTCCTAACTCCTGTTTCTGCCTCTAATATGTCTCTGACTAGACCTTCATGCCTGAGAAGGTGTCCTACCAACCTATCTCGCCTATTTTTTATTGACTTCCATAGAGTCCTCTGTTCTCCTATTCTTTCCAATACCTCTTCATTTCTAACCTTTTCTACCCACGATATCCTCATCATCCGCCTATAACACCACATTTCGAACGCTTTTAACCTTTTCTTTTCCGCCGCGCCCACCGTCCATGTTTCCCACCCGTATTTCGAATTTCTAAATTAACCGTTTGCGAGCATAGAAGTGACTTTTTTTGTTAATGGCGACTCTACTCTGCGCTATCCTTGTTTTATATCCCTACTACTCCTTCCATCCTGACTTATCTGACTTCCTAGATATCTAAAATCAGCTACTTCTTCTATTTTTTCGTCTCCTATCTTTATATTCGCCCTTTCCCTACTTTTTCTTTTCTTGCATACTAGTATTTTAGTTTTACTTTTATATATAGTACTAATCTGACAGTACCGCTTCCATTTTATTTAAAGCTATCTCCAACTCCTCCTTGCTAGATGCTAATACTGCTATATCATCTTCAAATCTAAGCATACTAATCTTTGCCCTTGCAAAAATATTATATTGCCATATAAATGCAATGTATTTTTTTTTTTGGTTTGTACTTCCCTCGAAGGGCCAGGGCAACCTTCACAATCATAGCCTAAACTTCACAAGATAGGAAACGGAAAAAAGGTACTAGAAGCATGCCCCGCTTCATTGTTTTACTTTAAAATAGAAACCCGAATAAACCGGTTAAACCCACAATAATCACGTACCTCAGTCTTAATGGACCTAACCACAAACTCATTGATAATGTAACCCTTTGCTCATGTAAATATATGCCCTGTTCTTGCGCCGTCAGAAGGTGGCCCCTTTCTGCTCTTATACGTTGCGAAGCGTGCGTAATTTTTTCAAATTCCAGTAGGGTTACAGTTACAGGGCCCTACAAATCCCTTTGGGAGCTGGATTCCAGCGTTTCTCGTTACTCCGTTCGTCCATTACTACGCCACTGATAGTACAGTTATCTATCTAAAATTAGCTAGAGATTTGGACAGGTCATTCAGTGTTATTCCTAGCTGTTTAATTAAAACCTTGAATTCATTTAAGACTAAACAGTAGAGATGGGCCGGGTACCCGATTTGCACCCGGTACCCGGCTTATCCGGCCCATTTTTAGGATTCAGCCGACTACCGGATGACGGAGGGACAACGAAAAAAAGAAGAAACAAACACCATCAATAATAATTTAATAACAATATCAAAAAACCTACCTAATGAAAATTGGTAATTAAAACTGTACTGGGATAGACCGTTTGTTCTAATTTCTATAATTTGCTGATTACTATACTAAATTATTTGTTAAAACTTCGATATAAAGTCAAAATCTTTTATAACGACACCGAAGGGACTACTCATATTTGGTCGTAAAAACCGATGGTCGTAATAGCCGGTGACGTTGTTATTAAGTACTTAATACCTATTATTGAATGTGTGATTAATATATTCATATATAAAATAAAACTACATTTTATTTATTTTACATAAAACGTATTATAAAAAGACATTACATACATATAATTATCATTTTTCTATATTAATAAAATCTGGAATTTTAGTCTGTTTGGAACACTTCTGACGTGCGTACAGACTTTGTAGCTCACGTTTAATTTTAATGAATGTATCATCATAACTTCCCTGCATATGAAACTGTTCATTAGAATAAAAAAACAATTTTTCGTAATACACTGACAACATTGAGACCATCATTCAATGTTGGCACTGTAAATTGTTCTTCAGTCTCTTCCTGTTCGTCATTTTCCTCTTGAACTTCTTGTACAATATCATCTTCCGTAGTTGGTGTACAAATTGCAATAGAGTTATCTGCATCAATAAACTCCTAAGCTTCAGTGGCAGATAGTCTGAGAATTACAATAGACCCTAAACTCGACATGTTTTTGTTTATTTTTGCGACCTTAATGGTCATTTACTATACCAGAGAGTTATGATATCTAAAATACTTTGTAATAATTATAAGACGCAACGTCAGCATGCAACGCATGTAAGAATAGTAATCTTTTCAGNTCAACTTTACATATTTATACTCGCTAATACTAAAAATGTGTTGTTTTGAGTTCGCAATGAGAGCGGGTTTTAGGAATAACGTTTATCGCCATTAAGGATAGTAGAGAGAGACTAAAATTAAGCATTTTTTTAAAACTACAGTCAAAATTCAAATGTTTACAATACAGCTGGTCGTTCTAACAGGTATAATTCTCCGAAAATATCAGTTAAATGTAGTCGCTTAAAGAGATATGTCGTAATAAGCAATGTCGTAAAAACCAGTGTAACAGAATTAAGTCGGGACCTACGATTTTGGTCAATATAACCGGTATGTTGTTCTAAACGATGTCGTAGTAAACGGTTTTGACTGTAGTTCGAGTATTTCGTGAACAAGAATACATCAGTATAGAAGAACTGTTACAACTTCTGTCGCTTGTTGGTACATTAGGTTTTTATTAACGATAACTTTTTAGTACCATTTTGTCTACTCAGCCCTTTTGTTAAAAATCGGCCAACCAAGAATTAAAATTTCATTAGCTTAGAGTTTAAACGAACGGGCCTTAATGTGGTTTGGGTCGTTACTTGTTACTGAGGGTGGTATTAATAGAAAAAGTCCGCCAGAACGAAGACATGAACCATTACCTAACCGTAGTTGTTTTGTCGGGTATAGGGAACAGCTAATGCAGGGTATACGCTTATCTGGCACCCCGCAAAATCGCTATCCGGTGCATTTTTACTAAATAGCTTAAGAATGTGTCAATTTCATTATTTGCCGTTGTTTAATTAAATTCCTAGTTAATTATTAAAAAACGTATTTTATTATTATTCAGCGGCATATATAAGTGAATATTAGTGATCTACCTGGCTACAAAAAGGTAAATTTGAAATATTAATAGGAATTAAAAAATTAAAAGGAATACTCACCCCTAATTACCACAAATAAGTCTCGCGTTGATAATGCCCACGTGTGAAGTGGGCGAANAATCGGTGTCCTCCCGAATACTAAGCAATGACAACCTATAGACTAACCGCAACGTAATTGTTTATTCCTTTGTTACTAATTTAGCCTAGATGAAACTAGTTTATCTAGAAATCGTGTTTGACCAGTAACAAACGTAACCTAACTTTTTTCTATAATATGAAATATTATTCTGAAAATTCATTTCTGAATTTTTTTACCCACTACACACTACCTCAAGTTAATGTGGGAAAAATTGTTACTGTTGTCACACCCCCGCCGGGAATCGAACCCGGGATCTTTGGCTTTATGCAGCAATGTTCTGAACATTAGTGCGTAATGCCAAAGATCTCGGGTTCGATTCCCGGCGGGGGTGTGACAACAGCAACAATTTTTCGTGGGTAAAAAATTCAAAAATGAATTTTCAGATTAAT